GCCAGGCGAGCGCGCTACCACTTGAGCCACATCCCCAGCCCCCAAAACAAGCTTTTATTAGTCATTAGAGGGTATGGAGGAAAAGACTAGAGCACTGATATTAATTAATTTTAACCTTTGTTTATCACTACATTTTTTATACCAAATATTCACTACCAACCAATTCAAGGGGCTATGCTAGGTGCTCTTAGGAAATATATTTATACTACAAATGAAGTTTTTCCTCAAGAAATTTTACCCAAGACCTTAGGCTTTATCATCTTCATTTTCCTCATTTGAAAAAATAAATAAACAGTATACAAGAAATATCTTTAAAAAGATGTTTAGATTTCCCAAGGATCAGTGGACCTGAGGTCTGTGAGATTCCAACCATGGTAAAAAATTTCTAGCCAGTAATGGTGGTACATGTCTCTAATTCCAGCAACTAGGGACCTGACGCAAGAGAACTGCAAGCTCAAGTCCAGCCTCAGTGACTTTACAAAATTAATAAAAACAGCTGCGGATATAGCTCAGTGGAAGAGTGCCCCTTGGTTCAGTCCCCAGTACCAAAAAGAAAATTTAAGGTTTCTTCCAGTTCTATGTGTGGTCTATTCAGARTCTGAGTCCGAGACTTTGTGTGTGTGCATGTGTGTATGTCTATATTTCTGTGGACAGAACCTAGGGAATTTTAACCACCGAGCTATATGCCCAGCCTTTTAAAAAATAAAATTTTTTAAAATATCAAGACAGGGCCTTGCTAATTTTCTTAGGCTGGCCTCAAATTTGCAATCCTCCTGCCTCAGCCTCTTGAGTTGCTGGGATTACAGCAATGTGCCAGCACACTCAATTGAGAAGAGTTCTTTATGAAATTATAAGCATGCCTTCAAACTGATGATAAGGCAGCACATGATAATGGCTTAGAGAAGACCAAGAGGACATACCTTATATTTATGTATTTTCTCAATTCATCTTGTAAAAGAAATTCCATGACTTAGTTCTAAGATCATTTAGCAAGAAAATGGCAGTCAGGTACTGACTGTGTTCCTGACCTACAAATTTTCATTTTATGCATACACACAAAATACTACTTATTGTGGGAATAAAATCAGATTAATCAAGAATCTTAATTAATATATGTACCAAAAGTAAATTATAAAACTGAATGTATTAAAATCAGGTATTTTGAGAGCTGAAAGAGACTTTGGAAGTGTTCTAACTCAGTGATCTTATTTTAATTATGAGAATTTTATGATGCAGAAAGGTTAAGGGACTGGCCTCAGTTAATGTCTCAATTGCAGCTCAGAGGTATCTCCACCAACTCAAACATGTATTTTGATGTCAGAAGAGCAGCAACAAAAGTTCTAATGACTTAAATGTCAAACAAATATCACTTAAAATCACTGACCTCCACTATTAATAAATTGGTGACACCGAGGGAGACAGGAAGAATCCAAGTAGAATCCAGCACAGTGAGATCAGGAAACCAGAGGATCCCACCAGTAGCTAATTGTTCCTGAACAGAAAAACCTGCTGAAACAGTTTTAAAAATCAAATAATAGAATTCTTAAAAATAGCAGAGGAAAGTATACAAAACCTAAGTAGCTTGACAATTCTAATAAAGTACCCCTAACACTAGAGATTTTAAAGGTTTTAAAAGGTTATTTTTATTCACAATATGTTTTCTTCTTTTTTGTTATTTTTTACTCAATACAAAATATTTTTCTTAACAGAGCTAGCCTATTTACACTTCAGATTTTAAATTCTATACCTTGTGAGAAAGAGAGTAAATGGTAATTATAAAAACTATGATTTTTTTTTCTTTCCTAAGTACAAAAAAAAAAATGTTAAAGAACTTATTTGGGGAAGCAGAACTTCTATAATAATTACCTTCTGAATGTGCTCCCTCTGTGCTAAAATTCCGGAGGGCAACAGATATGAAGATCCACATTGGAAGCTGAATCCAGACCAACACAGTGGCTTTGAAAGGGTGGCAGTTGTCCCGAACATACAGCTCTGAAACAAGCCTCCTCATATTCTTTAGATAAGTGAGCCTATTTTTGAGGGAAGAGGGAAAGATAATATCATTTGACTGCTGGTAGTTCTTCATCCCCAAAGCACAAACACACACATGCTATGATTACAGTTAAAGGGGTCTTAATTATGATATACTGTGCAGGCAAATTAAACCTTTACTGAAACTTCTATAGCAATGTACAAAATTGCATAACAATGTGATAAATCTGACACCTTCAGACTACAGGCTTTGTCTCTGATGGTCTTTAGCCAATTCAGTATTTTTTTTTTTTTCCTTTTGTTGTTATTGTTGTTGTTGCTGTACTGGAGATTAAACCTAGGGGTGCTTTTCCACAGAGTTATGTCCCCAGCCCATTTTATCTTTTATTAATACAGGGTCTCGCTGAGCTGTTTGGGGCCTCATTGAATTGCTGAGGCTGGCATCACACTTGGGATCCTCCTGCCTTAGCCTCTAGATTTGCTAGGATTACAGCCTGCACCACTGTGCCTGGAAGTCAATTAGATTTTAACAGAAAATTTCACTCCTGACATGGTCTAATTACAATTAATATCAGAAATATTAAAGCTGGAAGTCCATTTTACTCAAATCTGTGCATGCCTAAACCTTATTACTTGATCTCTGTATCTTTTGTAGCTATATGATTTTGTACTGTATATTCTCTTGGACTATAAAATTGATCTCCATGTTTCAGTGAACTCTTGCGAAGATTCTCTCAATCTGTTTTCTGTTTACCATATTAATTACTTCTGTTCATAAGTCTAGTTTCCTTGAGGGGCAAGTGTTCGTTTTATTCATCTTTAAATCTCTTACATTATAATACATATGGCATTAGGGATTAAATCCAGGGGAGCACTATCACTGAGCTACATCCCTAGCCCTTTTTGTATTCTGACAAAGGGTCTCACTAAGTTGCTGATGCTGGTCTCCAACCTGTGATCCTCTTGCCTCAGCCTTCTGAGTCAAAGGGATTATATGTATGCACTACTGCACCCAGCTTCCTATATCATACATTTTGTATAAGGCAGGCATTCAACAGTTTTGTTCAATTTAATCAAATTATAGTATTGAATTAAGATAATACATTCAGATCTTTCTCTTTTTCTAACTTTACCCCTAGTTACTTCTCTAATGACACCTGCACATTTTGGTTCCTGAATGACTTTCAGTCATCCAACAAACCAGACTTCCACATAAGCATGGCTTTGGAAGTATTATATAACCTAACAGATTCCCAAGACAACACTGCTAAAAATACAGGAAGCCCTCATCAGATAAGTCTTCCTACAAAGTCAACAGTTTGTATAAGGATGGTTCAGGCCAACCATCCTGCCAGTGCTACAAAAGCAAGGTGCCACAATCTAGGCTGTGTTCATAACCCAGGTGAATAGCCATTAATCTGTTCTTTTTGCTTTTGTCAAAAATAATCAATTTTCTCTGAAAAATAAAATTTCAAAACTATAGGCTTGCCTACTTTTATCAAATAGATATTGAGTTATCACAATAATTTTTTTAAAATATCAGGTCTTTTTTGCACTAAATATAGACACAAGTTCATATTAAAGATAGCAAATATACATCTATATAAAATATATGAATAACAATATATTCAACACTTACTTATACTACAAAACCCTTATTTTTCTCATTGCTGTGAACTGGTGACTACTTTGTTACAGTCTAATAAAGACTGGAAATCAACTAGCGAGTAGCTTAGTTCCCGGTAGATGACTACAGACATCCTTGGGCACAGTAAAGCACCTTTGGACAAGGGCTTTCCAAGAGGCATAGAACCACCACAGTGGTTTGGGCAGCACCATGGCTATGTAAATGCTTCTACTATGGCATTAACATTTTCTATGTCCCCTTTCATATGGTCTATTATCTGTATCTTTTCAAAAAGGTCAAATTTGCAAATTTCTGGACCAATATTCCAACAGAATGGCAAAGTATCTTCATGTCATAAAACCTTCATCAATGCTCTAGCTCTTTGCACATACTCTTTATACTCTCCTTAATTCATTGTCATCATTATTTATGATAGGCCTTTTTCAGTGGGCTTGAGTCCCTCAAGAATAGGAATAAAGCTCAATAAGGTAGTCCTAGAACTTGGGAGGCTGAGGTGAAAGGATCAAAAGAACTCAGGATTTGAAGAACTGGGCAAGTTGCTATCTCAGAAGTAAAAACCATGAGTAGGCTCTTATCTTTGCTGTTCTATTTCTTTGCTTTTTATTCAATATATAAAAGTATCATGCCACATACTGATTTATTAGAATATGAAATAGAAACTACTTTCCTGACAAATTTACCCAAACCAACAATTAACATCACTTACACATTTCTCTCTTTCTCTCTCTCTCTCTCTCTCTCTCTCTCTCACACACACACACACACACAGATAATTTGTGGTCTTATATGCATAAAATTACTTACCTGGTAACTCTCTTGGACCATCCCAACTGATTTGCATAAACTGCAACTTCATGATTAAGATGCTTGGCAATGTTTTTTATTTCTGGTTGCAAATTTTCCACCTAGCTAAAGAAAAAGTAGAACTTGTTATGAGCACATAAAGGATCTTATTCATAACCTTTCATAATTTTATTCTTCCTTCATTTTAAAATTGTGGTTTACGTCAAAAAACTTTAAATCTAAGCATAAAATGTCAATTTGCTTGGGATGTCCTTAGTCACAAATTCAAATTCCAGCTTGTATATCTAGTTGTCTAATCCTAGGTAAGGGATTTAACCCCTAAAATCCTATTCCCTCACTTTTAAAAGGTATAACAGCACAGAATTGTAAGTATTAAATGAAAACTGCATCCATGGTTTTACTGTTTCACCCCTAGATTTTCCAGTAACCTAAACAGAGAAAACAGCACACTACTAATATGCTTTTAGTATGCTCTGATAGCCACAAAACCAAAACTAAAAACTGCATTTATTCTTGCCCTGTGTTCTTTCTGTAAAGAAGCTCACTGCCTTCATGCTGCTGCCGCTACCTTTCTTGTTTTGCTTTCCAGTAACTTTTTCCTAACTATAATAATATGAAAGCCGTATTTATGAAATCTCACAATAATCATCCCTTTTTGTTTTCAAAGCATTTCAACTCATGTTATATGATTTCATATCATGAAGTTGTTATGTAAAGGAAGGTATTTTTATACTGACACCACAGAAAGAAGGATGTCCTAAAAAGTCAAGTGACAGCAAAACTGTTACAGGTGGTAAGTGCCAAGATAAGATATTGTTTGCAAACTGATACCTTAGTAGTTTCTTTCTTATAAGAAATATAAGCTGGAATACTTTGGTCAAAGATGCTGCTGACATACTGCCTGATAAAACTTTTTAAGATGTTAATGTTACATAGTTTTTTCCATACAATTTCTTCTGATTTTTTTAAAGTGTAATGTTTGATGACTTTAGTTTTTGCTTGTAGTGTGAAAAAAATTATCGGTGCATAATTATACATAGTAGTAGAATTCGTTCTTAAACATTTGTACATGCAAACAATATTCTCATTTCTTTACTGGTCTCATCATGAACAAGTTGAGTAACCACTTGTGCTCTGAGCACAAACTCAGGAGGACAAACGAAAATTTCAGGTACACCTGTGACAGAATATTTACACATCCAATGCCACTTAAAATTTTTAGTAATAAAGTGGCCTTGATGACTAACAATAACACTATGGTAACAGAGCGAGATCTGAGACCCAGGAAGACGTCTAACCTCCACTGCTAGGGCGACAGCAAGTATGCGCGCGGCTCGGCGCTCCTCACCTTGGCCAGGATGTAGTGCTGGTAAGCGGCCAGGGGCAGCGTGACCGCGCCGCGCAGGGCCACGGTGGTGAGCAAAATGCTGCCCCACCAGGGAAGGCCTGTGGCGGCGTGCGCGCAGAGCAGCACTTCCTCAGCGGCCCGCACCGGCGCGGACGCGGCCAGGGCCTCGTACCAGCCGCCCGCACCGTCGGGGGAAACTGCAGAAACTGACGCCACCGCCCACATTGGGAGAGCTGGGGGGTTGGCGCCGTTCCTGAGGGATGGCAGAAGAGGCAGGCCCCTAGTCCGCAGCTGTAGGGTAGGTAGCAACCGCTGCCACCGACCACCCATCCCACACATCATGCCTACGTTGGAGCGGAGCTCAGGTCGCGGGACTCCGGGACCGGCGATTCGCACGGCTCAACCCAGACCCCGCGCAGGCGCCAACTGCACTAGGCGTAGCCGTGCGCGCCGTTCCGCAGCCTTCCGATTGACCTTCCTATTCAAGTCGGTGACGTCTTGCGTCGCACTGGAGATGACGTAAGAGTCAAGGAAGTCCCACCTTTCCCTCGCGGCACTAGGCAGTTCTGGAACTCACTGGAGGAGCTCCAGCGGCTGGGGTCCCGACCGGAACTGCGGACAGGGGCGGGGTGTTCTCTAGGGAGAGTTTACTTTATAATCTAGTCTTCTGCGTTTTCACCAAGCCTAATCGTGTTATTGGTAGTGAACTCTCCTTGCTATGTGGTTTTGTGTCCAGAAGTTGTTCCTCACCATTTTTCGTGCATCCAACTGCTTCCGCTAGACATTCTGTACGACAATAGTGCCCAAGAGTCAATGCTTTGCTGAAATGCCGGCTTTCCCGAAAGTGGTGTTAATCAGCATTCGTTAAACATTAGGCATAATTTAGTCTTTGGTATAATATTTCATTGGTCCATCTTTTCCGGCTAGCGTTTTAAACCCCAGTTTCCTTCGATACATTATATATAGTAGCAAAAATCTTACGTATTATCTTCTGATTTAAATAGTAAGGATCACGGGCAGTAACTCAAGTAAAAATACATCAAAAGAATGGATTATTTAACCTCTACAGTGATTAAAAAATGGATTTTTTTTCCTTCGGTGTAATCATCTTGAAATAATATTCTAAAGTTTCTATTCAAAAGAACCTTGTTTTTTTAAAAAAAAWTTTTTTTAAGTTATAGAGGGACATAGTATCTTTATTTATTTTTATGTGGTGCTGAGGATAGAACCCAGTGCCTCACATGTGCAAGGTGAGCGCTTTGCCACCGAGCCACAACCGCAGCCCCTCAAAAGGAAGTTTTTAAAATATAGTTCAAACGTACTGTGATGCCAGATTTATAGGAATGAGTTTTTGTTGTTGTTGCCAGATTATAGGACAGCATTTTTTTTTGAGCGGGAGAGGGCAGTGCTGCTGGGGTCAAACCCAAAGCCTTATGCATGTTAGGCAAGCACTCTACCACTGTCCTTAATTTTAGGGTTATGTCACAGTTAATGGTTTCCTCAGCTTTGAGTTCCTTACAGAGTAACTAAATGTATAAAGCCCTGCATGGTTCCACTTAGGATTTTCCGATTTTGTGATAGTGTGAAAGCTATATGCATTCAGTGGTAACTGTACTCCAAATTTTAAATATTTTCTTAGGCTAATAATTTATATTCTTGCTGCAGCTCCCAGCTACTCTGTCATCATAAAGATAACCTACACTAGCTGGGGGTGGGTGTGATTCAGTGGTAGAGTGCCTGTGTAAAGAAGGTCCTGGGTTCAAACTCCAGCACAAAACAACTCACCCTCCAAAAGGCTACTCATACAGCATTACTGTGTTCTTATTGTTTGATAAATGTAAAAATACATTTTTATTTACAATTTTTCAATTTACAGTTTATAAAAATCTAAGAGTGATGTTATCTGGGTGTGAGTCCATGGGAAGTAATTAAGTTATAAGAATGGTCCCTCATAAGTTGAATTAGTGTCCTTATAAGAGGAAAAAAGATAACTACCCCATGTGAAGAAACAAGAAGTTCCTCGACAGGAACAGAATAGGCCAACAGGTTTATATTGGATATCTTAGCTTTCAGAACTATGAGAAATAAAATTTATTAATGCCATGCAGTCAATAGATTGGTAATAACTGACCAAAGTTTTCAAAATGTGAATAGATTATCATGTCATTTAGATTTTTCATTTCCCATATATATATTTATATATATTTCATCTGAAATGTTTCAAAAGTACCATTGTTTTCATGAGCAAGTTACTCCTTGGAATCAGATTTAGAGTTTTTACTACTTCTTCAAGGTATTACTTTTCAAAACTGAAACTACCTAATGCAATTAGTTTTCACTCACTGCACTGAGAAATATCCCTTTTATCTTTGGTTTTCAAGGACTGAACTTGGGAAGTTGGCTTTCACTTTATAACAATGTGAATCCATTTAAACATAGAATTCTAACATGAAATCTCTTACAACAGAACTGTTAGTCCATTACTGTGTCTCACATTATAAAGGAATTCTGTCCAAGTTCCAGTTTTCTCTATGTTCACCTATTCAAAATTAAAATGATAGTATTTTTTGCAATCAAGATGTCCAATATAAAGCACTAATGTTCTCATCTTAAATGCCAGTTACCTGAGTTGATCAAACGCTATGCCTTATTCAAGCAAACATTTATTCAGTGAGATGTGTATTTCCAAAGAGATCTGGGAGCATCCCAAATTTACAAAGTATAACATATATATGTACATATATATGTACATATATATATATGAAACATAATTCATATATCTAAAGTAAAAATAGATAAATGGTATACTGAATCTCTAGTGCTCAAAAAGTAAATTGGGGAGCTGGAGTTGTAGTATAGTTGAAGAGCACTTGCCTGGCATGTGTGAGGCACTGGGTTTGATTGTCAGCACCACATATAAATAAAGCTCCAATAACAACTAAAAATATTTTTTTAAAATTGGTTTTCTTCTGATGTTTTAATTTTCCCTTGATATTTTACAATAATCCTGACATGAAAATTTCTTATTTATGAAATGTTTTGGTACACTTTAATGTCAGATCTGTGGGAGTGAAAAATGTTTTGGTGATTGACTGAACCCAGGGCCTTGTAAATGCTAGGAAAGCACTATACCAGTAATCTATAAGCCTAGCTTATGAGAGTGTTTTTGAAAAATATCAAAGTGAAAATAGACTGAATCCGAGGATTTGAAGAGGCTTTACGATCCTGAGTTTCCCAATTTATAATACCTTGTACTATTTTAAAGATAAAGTGAATAATATAGTGTGCAACATTATTTTAATGAAATGTGTATTTAGGTAATTTGAGTCGAAAGACAGATTGAATACTTTTTGAAGAACAAGCAGGAATACTTAATACACTATTTACCTATTTTGTTTCCCCAGAGAACAACAATGACTACTCATGATTTATAAAAAAAAAATATTCTACTAGTAAAATAAAAATGATTTTACTTTATAATAATAGAAAACATAATTTTCTTTCATATAAACACTAAAATCAGTTTTGCTGGTTATGTTTATATGTTGAAAAGATATGAAAGGGGGATTTTGTTGGAAATGCTAAGCAGTCATTTTTAAAATGGAATAGTTGGTATAAATAGGTTGCAGAGTAATTGAGATACTACTTGGGAAATTAAGGTGTGAAATAACCCATGGATTATTTCCAAGAATTAAATCACTTCTTAAAAATAAGAGGAAATAAACACAATGTGTTCTGCATGTATATATCTTGCATACTTTGGAAGAAAATAAGACCTTCAGGGTCTCAAAAAATTGCTTTTTTATTGTTCAAATAAATATGCACTGTTATTACATCTGAAATATAAAAAATGTATTTGAAAAATGTTCCTAGTACAGACTTCTAAAATCATGTACTTCACAAGCCTGATCTCAAAATATGGAGCATTCCAATCTATATTCACCTGCTCCAGTTTTTAAAGTCAAGAAAATAAAGGGATTTTCCCCCTGCATTTTGAATGTCACCCCATATTAAGAAATTCTGTTTAGTGAGGAAACAACCAAATTCATGTGTTGTAATAAATACTGAGTAGTATCTGCTCTCCAGGAAGATTAAGTTGAAAATAACTCTAGTTAACACAGAAAAGAAATAGGCAAAAAAATATAGAACACTGGCAAAAGTCATATATACTTTGTTAAATAACATTACACCCCCTTTTTAGTAAAGTGCTGTAGTTTATTTCATTACTATTTATTTGTAGATCTTCTATCTTTTCCTTTAAATTTGGGCATAGTCAAGTGAAAAAACAAATTTACATATTTTAACAAAATTATATATTTTAAGATTATATGCTAAATTAAAACATGAGGGTGTTGTTTATAGACTTCTAGATGTGTTTGAAAAAAATCAACTTTCTATTCTTTAGTCAGATTATCAGAGGCAAGAAATATTCATTTTCTTGAACAGCCAAGGAATCATACTTTCAACTCTGGGTAATTTATCTGAATTCTAGTTTATGTTTTACCAGTGTAGAATTTGTGTCTAACTAAAAAAAAAAAAAGACAAATTGATATATATACATTACTTCACTTTTATGCTTTCTTTTACATTTCAACCATATAATTTATTTTTCCATAGGAGACAGGGCAGGACACGTATTCTTCTCGGATACATTGCTGTTTATTGTTTCAAGTGGATGGAATATATAAATCCCACTGAATAGTTTAGTGTGGTCCTGTATCTTACATAAACAGGATAAATGGAGACTTTATGTTGTAATCTTTGTATTCATGTATCTACCATAAACTGTCTTAATGACAAACGCAAACTTTCTTTTATTACTTGAACCCAAGTTAGCTGTTGATCCTTTTCATTGATAATATACAAGTGTAGAGAGCAAGAAGCCTTTCAAACTAAAAAAGAAATACTTCTCACTAAATTAATGAAAATTGAAAATTTTATGATGCCTTGATAAATGGAAAGCCAATGTTAAGAATCAATATTATCCAATATAAAATAGTACACTGAATTGTTTAATAATAAACAGTATATTAAGAACTTGTATATGCTGACTGTAACAGTGGTGGCTTTTTAAATTCTCAAAAAAGTCTAAACATTTTGTGGTTAGAAGAAACCATTGGCGATGATGAAGATGCTCCATCTCTGTAGCAATCATTATAGGAAAATCTTTACAGAATTTTTGCACTATTAGCAGGAGAATTTTACTGGTATTAGTGATAACAGGCAAAAAGAGAAGAAAGTGAAGAGAATTAATTCTAGGAGTGTGGAAAAGTAATAACAAGACAAGGGAAAGTTAGAAATTTCTTCTGTATGTGCCTTGCTACAAACCCAAAAGAGAGGGGCGAGTGTTTTAAAAGCCAATGTAGGGAAACATCCACTGATAATGCCCATTATTTTACTTTATACTTAAATTACACAAGTAGAAAAGTTATGCTTATTAATAGTTTAATGTATGAAGGAAACATCCAGATTTCTGAATATGAAGGTACATATCTCACATTAATTTAAGTCTACATAAAGTAGAGCC